CCTTAATATCGGGACGGAGATGGTTATGCCACCTCTCTCTACACTGTTTTCCAACTCGTCCTTGAAGSATCTTAGCAATTTGAGACCATTTTTTAGTCCCATGACGCTCCACTAATTGCAYTAATAACCTATATTTATGTAAAAATCTCAAAAGATCTATAAACTAAATTCAAATARAAATTATTAATCACAATTATTAATTCTAAATTTTACCTATCTTCATCAGAAGTCCATTGCCCTTTGATGATGCTAGCCCTTTTTATGGGTTTACATCCTCTTCTCATCTGCAATCTCTTGTTCTTTTTAATTTGATCAGTCTTCATCACTATTTGACTAGTTTGAYGTTGATTCATAATGGTATCTTCGTTTGCACTCATACTACCCATTGGTTTTGGTGAATCAAATTGATTAGAATGAACCATGGCTATATTGAAGGTTGATTCGGTCCCAATGGCGAGCCCTTGGTTTTGATCATGTTCCCTCAAAGAATTGTCATGTGAGACATGTAAAACGTAAGGTAGATCTTTGGATTCAACCATTGGTGAGGTGTTATAGGCCGTTTCAAAGAGACTTTGGTTGTTGGATAAGCCATGAAGATAGGTCTCGAAAGTTTCAGTGCATGAGGATGGAGTGATGCATATAAAAKTATCTTTCGAAGGCATTTCATATGTGTGAGGCTGGATTTGAAAGGGATAAGGAGAAATATTTAGATCGCGAATAAAGTGATCAGAATTTGTGTTTGAGATTTTTGATGTTGGATTCTTGTGGTAAGTATGAGGGGTAGATTTTATCATCGAAGKKGGATGTGATTTATCGAGATCAATCTGGAAAGGTTTATGATGCACATTTTGTATACAAGARACATCATCAGAAACAGAAAGATGAAAATCTTTTAAGGTAAGATTATCATCATAGATAACAGATGCAAGATATGGGTAATKCATTTTTATCACTGACTCAAACTCCATGCGATGATAACGATGAAAAAAAATTAGAGCAATTGTGAAGGAAAATAAATGAAAGTACGAATGAGAGAGATGATAAATACTAGATGGAAAAAAAAGAGTTGGTGAAGAACATAAAAATTTAAAGAGAGAGATTAATTGTACTACAAATATGTCAAAGAAGATACTCATCAAAATAAAGCTTCAAA